TCCTGACCTGCATACAGGTTACTCAAGAGGCAGGTCAGGTGGTCTGGTATTCCCATCCCTATACATGTCCCATATTCTGGGTTAGTCTGATTGCTGTCTTGTGGTATCACTGAATTTGTTCCTCTATCCCCTTATTTCATGTAATCTGGGAAGGAGGTTTAGTGGCCTGATTGGATTCAGGTTAAATGCTTTTGTAAGAAGACTGTATTTATTTATTTATTTGGCTGCGTTGGGTCTTCATTGCTGCCCAGGGACTTTCTCCAGTTGCCCCTCAGCATGTGGAATCTTCCTGGACCAGGGATTGAACCCATGTCCCCTGCTTTGGCAGGTGAATTCTTAACCACTGGACCACCAGGGAAGTCCTGTAAGAAGACTTTAAAAGTGCTGTTGTGTACTTCATCCTGTAATACATCAGGAAGCATGTGGGTGTTGGGTTGTCTTGCTCTTAGTGATGCTAAATTCAATTACTTGGTTATGACAGTAATGGCCAGAGGTGTTTCTGAACTGTTTGTCTTTTAGTAAATAAAACACTAGGGGGTTACGTTCTTAGTTTAAAGGGATCTTCCCTGGGGGCTCAGCATTAGAGAATCTGCCTGCAGTGCCAGAGTCCCGGGTTTGATCCCTGGGTTGGGGAGTTCCCCTGGAGAAGGGAATGGCTACCCACTCCTGAATTCTTGTCTGGAGAATTCCATGGATAGAGGAGCTGAGTGGGCTGTAGTCCATGGGGTCGCAAAGAATTGGACACGACCGAGCGACTAATACTAAAGAGAAAAACCTCCCCCATCACTGGCTCTTTGTGAAAGTCAAATGTGTCTCCAAGACTTGTAACTCTGAACCTGTGTGTATAATGACACTGCTGGACAAGGTGAGCAGGTAATTGAGTTGGCACCTTGACTTGAACCCAATGGAGAGGAAAATGCAGTCTGTGCCCCTGACTTTGGCAGAAGACCACAGCGAGGTGGCTGTCAGTAGGTGGAAATTAGCAGCAAGAGGCCTTAGGCTCCTCTAGTTTCCGGTCAAATATTATCATCCCTCCAGGAAGGAGGGAGGATGGTGTCTGCACTCTCTTTGTAAAATGATGGCCTTTGAGATACTAAGAAGGGAATTGAGGAACCCTTCTAGAATGCTTATCCCGGCACATTTCCGACAGTGGCATGCAGAACATCTTTAGGAAGTATCATAGAAATAAGATGGAAGACCATTTGTCCTTGTAATGGGTATGTGACTGACCTTGGAAGACTTTTGTTGACTCTTTTCCCGAAGCTTGAAAAAGGCTTAGAAAGGTCAGGAGAAGAGTGAACATACAATGAATGAGTTAGATCAAGAGAAATTTGGGCTCTCCAGCCTAAAAACAGGAGCATCAGCAGAGCGATAATAGGAACTTCCCTGGCAGTCCAGTAGTTAAGACTCCGTGCTTCCAGTGCATGGAAGCATGCACTCCAGAGGGCTCGAGTTTGATCCCTGGTCAGGGAACTAAGATCCCACATACTGCATGATGTGACCAAAGAAAAAAACTTTCCTCTAAATTAAAATTTTTTAAAGGAACAACACAACAGGGACATAATAAAAATGACAGCTTACCAGGAACCTACTCGATGCTATTTAATTCTTAACATATATTCTCTGGAAAGTGTGTTCTTACTCCTCCTGTTTTGCAGGTAGAGAGACCAATGCTCAAGGTAAGTAATCCAGTCTGCCCATCTGGTACTGTGTTTGAATCCAGTCTGCCTAACTGGTACTTGTCTTAGACTTCAAGCTCTATTGCCTGCTAGGGACTTATGCCCTAGATCTCAGCATGAAGAATACGGAGATGCTTCTTGATGGAAAAAAACAAGTAAACATTTATTATCTCATAGTTTCAGTGGGTCAGGTTTTGGGAACAGCTTAGCTGGGCAGTCTGGCCTGGGCTCTTCCGTGAAGTTGTACTCAATACACTGGGTGGGCTGCAGTTATCTGAAAGCTAGACCGAGTCTGAAGGGTCCATTTCCAAGGCGGCTCGTTTGCATGGCTGGCAGATGATGCTGCTGGTTCAAATGCCTCGGCTCTTTCCCCTCTCTTGGACTTTGTTTTTTAACTGGAGGATAATTGCTTTACAACATTGTGTTGGTTTCTGCCATACATCAGCACCATCCAGCCGTAGATATATATATGTCCCCTGCCTCTTGCTCCCTCCCACCTCATCCCATCCACCCCGCCTCAGGTTGTCATAGAGAACCTGATTTGAGCTCCTTGTGTCATATAGCACATTTTCAGTGGCTATCTGTTTTACATAAGGTAATTTATAGTTTTCCATGCTACTCTCTAAGTTCGTTGCACCTTCTCCTTCCCTGACTGTGTCCACAAGTCTCTCTATGTGTTGTTTATGTCTGCATCTCCATTATGAAACTAAAAGTGTTAGTCACGCAATTATGTCCGATTCTTTGCAACCCCATGGACTGTAGCCCACCAGACTTCTCTGTTCTTGGTATTCTCCAGGCGACAGTACTGGAGTGGGTAGCCATTCGCTTCTCCAGGGGAGCTTCCCGACCCAGGTCCTATATAGCAGGCAGATTCTTTACCGGCTGAGCGATTTGCTGCCCTGTGAACAGGCTTATCAGTACCATCTTTCTAGATTCTGTATATACATGTGTTAATATATTTGTTTTTCTCTTTCTGACTTACTGCACTCTGTGTAATAGTCTCTAGGTTCGTTCACCTCATTAGGACTGACTCAAATGTGTTCTTTTCATGGCTGAGTAATATTCCATTGTATATGTGCTCCACAACTTCTTTATCCATTCGTCGATAGATACCTAGGTTGCTTCTATATGCTAGCTATTGTAGATAGTGCTGGAACAGACATTGGAGCACATGCATCTCTTTCAATTATAGTTTTCTCAGGGTATATGCCCAGTAAGTGGAATTGTTGGGTCATATGGTTCTATTCCTAGTTTTTTTAGAAGGAATCTCCACTCTTCTCTTGGACTTTTGAAGGAACTAGTTTTCAGGTTACAAGTGTTCTTTTATAGAAATTTTAAAAAGTTTATTTTTGGTGTGTGGGCTCTTCATTGTGGTGTGCGGGCTTTCTCTGGTTTCAGCAAGCAGGAGCTACTGTTACATTGCATTGCAGGGGCTTCTCACTGCGGTGGCGTCTCTTGCTGTGGAGCAGAGGCTTTAGGTCCTCTGACTTCGGTAGTTGTGGCACACAGGCTTACTCGCTCTGCAGCATGTGGAATCTTCCCTTAGCAGGGGTCACCTGCATCGGCAGGCTGATTCTTACCCACTGTGCCACCAGGGAGGTCCTATAGAAATATTAAAAAATATCTGTATTTATTTGGCGGCACATGGTCTTAGTTGCAACATGGGGATTTAGTTCCCTGGCCAGAGATCAAACGCTGACCCCCTGTTTTGGGAGCATGGAGTCTTAGCCACTGGACCTCAGGGAAGTCTCTCTTGGACTTTTGAAGGAACTGGTCTTCAGGCTGCAGGTGTTCTTTTCCGGAAGTATTTGGAGCTCACCACACCCCTTAGTGAAGCTGACTGAGAACAGAGGCAGAAGGACTCAGAGTGCATCACGGGGAAGAAAGTTAAGGGAGGGGAGATGCCTTGAGAGCTTGGAAACCTGAAGGGTAACTAATTTCTACCTTAAATCCTCGAATTGATTGAGACTTTTTTGGGGGTCTGAGTTCTTAAAGGACTGTATCTGTTTCTTAGAGAGATGCAGGGCAGACTTTTTTTGGTGGGGGGCAGTTGTCTCTAGGAAATGCTCATGGAGATAGTTATTTATACATACCCTGCCTTGTTCTAGAAAACCAGCTTATAATAATACAGTAGCAACTAAGAGATAAAATGAAGTGGTGGTTTGATGGGTAGTGTGGGCAAGGAGGGAGGTTGGAATATGTGGCATTTTCCTGGTCTGGCTTTGTAAGATGTGGGGAGGCGTGGAAGGACTGCATACTCTTTGGAAGTTCTCATAAACACCGCCCTTTCTTGGTAATTATTGCACAGCCCTGAGCTGGAGGCTGTGGGTCCCGAGCAGTAACTGGATGGAGGCCATTCTGTGTGGCTGGTCTCAGTGGTGGGGTCGGGTGTGCGTGTGCAGGAGTTTCCAGCTCCCCTGGGGTTTGGTGCCCGTGCCTTGTGTCGGCTCGTTCTGCTGCTTCTTTGCCCTTAGGGCTGAACTTGCCTAGTGTTCTGGGGGCTGGGTGACCCTGGGCTGCCCTGTCACCTCAGCTCGTGGAGTCAGGTGTCCGTTAGTCTCTCCTTATGGAACTCAGCCAGGACCCTGTAACTACAGGACTAACTTGCCCGTACTGAACTTCTGTTGTAAACTTTTTTTAACCCCTTATTTCAAAGCAAAACATTTCCAGGATTGAAAATTAAAAAACAACTTTTTTAGGGCTTCCCTGGTGGTCCAGTGGTTGAGACTCTGTGCTTCCAATGCAGGGTGGTGGTGGGGGTGCAGGTTCAATCCCTGGTCAGGGAACTAGATCCCGAATGCCTTGAGGCATGGTCAAAAAAAAAAAAAAATTAATGGAAAAACCCAACTTTTTAGCCCAAATAATAAGTCTCTACAATTGTTTATGTAGAGATGACTCCTGATGACTTTTCCTTAGTGCCCTTGACCTGTTTTGACTCTTTTCGCTCCCACTCTATACTGGTCGGGGGATGTTGCTTGGAACTGCTTTCTTCCTCTGCATACCATCAGTATCTCTTACTCTTTTCTTTCAGTCCTGCAGATATAAGCAAACATATAAGTAATATAGAAATTACCTAGCAAACCTAATGCTCTAAAATGTTTAGAAGAAAAAACAAGCACATCCTTTCCCACCAGCCTGATACAACAGTTAGGCATATTCCTCTGCGTTCCTTTTTCCGTGCCACAAGACACGTTTGAAGATGCAGTGAAAAACGTTGCCAGGGAAGCCAGAGTTGGTGAAGTGGGAGCTCATAACTTACAGAATCTTAATCTTGGTGTGCGTTTGCGTTTGTCCATCCACATTGCTTTTTGTGTCCAACAGTGGAGAACACACAGCTGACCCTGAACCTGCAGACAGAGAACAAAGGCGGTGTTGTCTCGGGTGGTGAGCTGACAATTTTCCTGGACGGGCCGACTGTTGATCTGGGAAGCGTGCCTAATGGCAGTGCCGTGACGGATGGTGAGTGCCGCCCTGCTCCCCAAGGCCTGTGCCGGGACAGGGCAGGGTGGGGCGGGGCGGGGCAGAGCTGTGGAGGTGCCCAGAGCTTGGTTCTCTACCAGATATCTGGGTTCAGGTACTGCTCAGCCAGCCCAGACTCTTCTGAGCATCGTGGATTCCAATCATGACGTGATTTTTCAAGGACTGCTTTCTGATAAAGGACCAAAATAAATGTCAAGTCTTTGTGAGTATGTTGTTGTTTTAGTTTGAGAACAGAGAGAGACATCCTTTCATCCTATATGGACTTTGGAAAATAAAACATCTTTATTAAATGTTACTTGGGCCTGTTTTTCTTCTTCCCAATGCACTTAAACTCCCTGGGGAACTTGAGAATGTCTTTTATGGGATGGTCTTGGTTGGGAGAGGGGAACCGTGTGTCTCAGAGATTCACACCAGCAACATACAGGCAAGAAGCAGGGAAATCGGAGAGTGGTTCCTGCCTCGTCCTGAATGTGGGCGGTTTGTTTCTTTTCATCTAGGCTGAAATTAGTCACCTTTGGATCTAGCAGGAAATTATTTCATGACATCTGAGGTCTGAAATGGGTTGGCTCTCTGCATAATTTTTTCTCATTAAATATGATGTAACTATGGTGCTTTCCAGGCCCCAACCAGGCTTTCCGTAGCTGCAGGGGGTGAGATTCGAGTTCTGTTTCAAGGGCATTTGGGCGGAGTTTCAGTGACTGGATGGGCCTTGACCGCTGCAAATCCTCCCTCAGCTGGGCTCCTTGGTGCTTGGGGCACTTTCTGTGCATCTAGAGAACATGCATCATTCACTCATTCAGCATATATGTCCATAATTGAGCACTGGGTGTGTACTAGCTCCTGGACCAGGTCCTGGTCAGATGGCAGGGGCAAAATTCACATGGTCTCTGCTCCCTAGAGCTTATAATCTACTCGGTGGGGGCAGGGGATGTTAGACACCAAATGAGTAAATGCACAAATAATTATATAATCATAACTGACCTGAACTATGAAGGAAGAGTGCTGGGTGGTGTGAGGTTCCTCCACTTTAGGGGGAATCTCATCTAAACTAGGGACCCAGAGAAGGTTTTCTTTGAGGATGCTGAGACCCGCTGGAACATGAATTTAGACAGGCCAAGGTGGGGATGTGAGGTGTTGGGGTGGCTGAGTAAGAGGTAGAGGGGTCTCAGGCACAAAGGCTCTCAGATGGAAGTGAATGTGGCCTTTCGTAGGCATAGGGATGGCCTATGAAAGTTGGATAGTGAGGAGTGGGAAAAGTAGAGTGGTGGGAGATGAAGCCAGTTGGATCACATAGCCTCTAAGACCTTGATAAGGATTTGGAACCTCAGCGTAAGAAGCAGAAAGCTGTTGAAGGGTTTTTAATCAGGAGAGTGTCATGATTTGGTTTAGATTGGGTCTGATCAGACTTTATTAGGTTTTTTTATTTTATTTTAAAAATATTTATTTATTTTTTTGTCTGCATCAGGTCTTCATTGTGGCCCACGGGCTCTCTAGTTGTGGGCTTACTTGTCCTGCGGCATGTAGGATCTTAGTTCCCTGACCAGGGATGGAACCCATGTCCCCTGCATTGGAAGGTGGATTCTTAACCCCTGAACTGCCAGGGATGTTCCTGATGTAGCTTTTCAAAAGCTCACTGATTGTGATGTGGAGAGATGCCCCAATTCCTTGCCCCCACTTTGCATGGCCAGCATCTGGCCTTTGTCTCACATGGTGTGGTTTCATTTAATGTATAAGGCAACATGCCTGTAAGCGCCTGAGACGTTCTTGAAGGTCTCGAGGAAGAGGAGGTGTTTCCGGGTTTGAGCCCCTCTGTTCCTCGGCCCCAGTCAGATCTCACCTGGCCCTCCCTGTCCTTGTTGGGCTGGCAGCTGCAGCTGAGTGGACACTCGCTCAGGGGTGGAAACACGCGGTTAGCGGTGTTGCTGTACCCACATCTCGAACAGAGGTGTGAGCTTCTCAATGTTTATTTCTTATGATGGATCCCTTTTCCAGGTTCACAGCCACCTTCAAGAGAATCCAGCGGGACAGCCGTTGCTCCAGAGAACCGCCACCAGCCCCCGAGCACAAACTGCTTTGGTGGGAGATCCCGGTAAGACATCCTCCTCCTGCCCTATGAAGGAGGGGGAGCCAGGATTGCTTAGAGCTCCTGAAAACATGTGGGAAAGTGACAAGGAACAGTTTATGTTATAAACTGTCAGAAATTTCCAGAGAAGTTGTAACTGACTTGCAAGACTTATAAGTATGTTAATATGGCCCAGAGGGGAATACACAGCTCAGGATTCTCAGAAGGGTCAGTGGTTCCTTGACAAAGATGGGGATGGACCAAGTTGTTTATTTGGCCAAAAGGAACTACTGAGCAGAGCTTAACTGCTTTTTGATGATCAGGTACCATGGCCACAGTTATCCTTCCAGGAAATACAAAGGAGCACTTAGAGCAGTGGTTCTTTTTTTTTTTCCTTTTTATTTAGGCTTGCTGTGCAAAGGTTTTCTCTAGTTAATGGTGATCTGGGGCTGCTCTCTAGTTGTGGTGCGAAGGCGCCTCATTGCAGTGGTTTCTCTTGTTGCAGAGCGTGGGCCTTAGGGCACACAGGCTTCAGTAGTTGTGGTGCACGGGCCTAGCTGCCCCAAGGCCTGTGGGATCCTCCTGGACCAGGGATCAAACCCCTGCGACCTGCATTAGCAGGAAGATTTCTAACCAGCAGACCACCAGGGAGGTCCCAGAGCAGTGTATGTGTATGTGGCATTTTCTGTCTGTACATTTTTGTTTGTGGGGATGATCCATGATTCCCTTTGGAGTGCTGATTCAGACCTTCTGCACTCAGAGTCTGAGCTGTATTATACTTGTTGTATACATGTCACAAATAATGTTATTATTAGACTTTATTTACTGACATCCCCATCTTATAGCAGTGTTAATGGTGCATATTCATCTCCATGGCCACTAAATTCCCAGGCAGGGGATTAGTTTTAAGTATATTAGATGGGGAGGAGTTTTTATTATATATTGCTTATTGTTTCATTGTTTGTTACACTGTACAAAATTCCTAGATGTTTTAAAGAAATTTTAAGGAAAAGAATCATATGGAATGTAGTTTGTAAACCAGAGAGCAGGTGAATAACTGGCAAAATCTTCCCAAACAAGTCCTGGGGCATGGGGGAATAATGCTTTAAGAAACAGAGTATATAGCGAGCTGGGGCTGCTATATACCCACAGCATCTGGGAAGACTGCTCTGAGGACAGCGATCAGCCTGTCTGGATTTTGTGGTTTTGAGGGTTTGTGAGGTCTCAATGGCCGGCAGGCATCAGGAATAAGAGAGGGTTAGACGTTTGGATCTTCTGTCTATAGCATCATTAGTAGCAGAGGTACTGTTTCCCTGTTGTCTTTTCTCCAAGCTTCTGCAGAGCTCTGGCCTCATATCCTGAAGATGGGTCACCTAGTATATCATGGAGAAGAGAGACTTTAAGTTAGGAAAAGTGGCTGAGCCTCACAGGGTTGTTGTTGTTCAGTTGCTCAGTTGTGTCTGACTCTTTGTGACCCCATGGACTGCAGCACACCAGGCTTCCCTGTCCTTCACTATCTCCCAGACTGTGCTCAAACTCATGTCCATTGAGTTGGTGATGCCATCCAACCATCTGATCCTCGGTCGTCCCCTTCTCCTCCTGCCTTCAATCTTTCCCAGCATCAGGGTCTTTTCCAATGAGTCAGTTCTTTGCATCAGGTGGCCAAAGTATTGGTGCTTCAGCTTCAGCATCAGTCCTTCCAATGAATATTCAGGACTGATTTCCTTTACGATTGACTGGTTTGATGTTCTTGCTGCCCAAGAGACTCTCAAGAATCTTCTCCAGCACCACAATTTGAAAGCATCAATTCTTCAGCATTCAGCCTTCTTTATGGTCCAACTCTCACGTCCGTACATGACTACTGTAGTCTCACAGGTTAAGGAACAACAATGCAATCGGCAAATCTTGTATCAACAGAGGCACCATTGGCACCCAGAGCTAGAAAAACGGAATCTCTTCAGTGGCGAGTAGCTGGTGGAGAGGAACACTTCAGGTGTCCACTGTGAGAACGCTGCCTCTGAGCCCTGGTGCTCGGCACTGCCATCTTGGTCTTTGAGCTGACTTGGAAAATTTGTGTCAAGCACAGCTGATGTCACTCAATTTGGGGCTGGAAGGCAGCGTTCAGCTCTTAACAGTTTCGGACTTAAGTTCTTGAGCTATTTGTTGCTCTCTTCAGTTCTCTGATGGGTAGACCTTGAAATTCACATATCTGGTTAGCCCCCCTTTGTGCTCTTGTTTGTGTTGAGGGTTGTTGATGGTTAGAGCAGTAGCCAGACTTCAGTAGAAAATCGGTCACAATTTTGCCCACAACACACAGTGGACATGTAGTGCTGGTTAACTGTCAGCGGACAGAGTGCTTGTAGGCGATTGAAGCCGTGTGGGAGCCTCCTCCATCTGCCTGGCTACTGCTGCATTTTCCATGTGTGGTCTGTGAATTTTCACAGGCCTCTGCCATCCAGGTATTCATTGTGTGTGGGTGTGGAATCCGCTGCCATTTGGTGGCAGACACTTGGGCATGTATGGCCTTTGTGAAGTCACCGTGTACACAGGGGGTGGCAGAGTGGTATACTGGATGAGTGCGAGGCTCTGGCAGCAGCTGTAGACTGAATCCTGGCCTGTCACTGACTTGCTATACATTATTGGGCAAGTCATCAAACTTCTCAGCCTCAGTCTTTTCAGGTGTAAAATGGGGGTTATTGCCTGCCTCACGGGATCACTGCAGGAATTAACTGGGATGAGTTAGGTGGCTCAGATGGTAAAGAACCTGCCTGTGACGCAGGAGACCCATGTTCAATCCCTGGGTTGGGAAGATCCCCTGGAGAAGGGAATGTCTACTCACTTCAGCATTCTTGCTGGAGAATCCCATGGACAGAGGAGCCTGGTGAGTTACAGTCCATGGGGTCGGAAAGAGCCAGACTCAACTGAGTGACTAACACACAATACCATCTGAGGGCCTTGCACACAGGCATCACACAGTAAAGGTGGCCAGGAGTTGCATCTGGAGACTGTCTTTCACGCCCCACTTCCCCACCTCCAAACCTGGGACGTAACACATGATGAGGCATTCCTGTCCAGGAGTCTGTAGTTAGGAGGGTGATGAATCAAACCTTCAGGACTCAGGGACAATCCTCCGCTGTCCTTGGTTTCCTGTGGCAGAGAGAATGACGGGCTTCGGCCCGCCGCCTCCCAGACTAAATATTTAGCTTTCGCCGTCTGAAAGGGTAGGTTTTTCTTGGATTTGGGTGCTATTCTCCATGATCAAAGGTGCTCTGATGTGCCTGTGAAGGTGAAGATTGCAGTGTGAAAGCAGCCTTTTCCTCTCCTGCCCCTGCTTTATAAAGCTATAGAATTGGAACCATGTAAGAGCTGTATCTTAAGGATTCATCTCCCCAAGTTCATCCAGCAACATTCCCAAGTGCTTGCAGAACAGGACCTCATAGCTCTGTCTCCTAGTCGGATCTTTCCGACTCGTTATGGGTCATCAGGTGGAACATCTCTAGTTGTTTTGCCATTTGGGCTGCCACATGGAAGCCAGCATGGTATCACCACCCATGGCATAAAGTTATTAGCAGACCAACCACATTAGTATCCACTCAGTGGGTCTGGTTGAGTAAAGAAAGAGTTAATATCACACACTGTTGTATAGTCTTGCAATGAAATGCTGTCTGGTAGCAAAAAAATGGGGAATAGATAGTTAATATCAGTGTGTTGGAATCTCAGAAACATAATGTTGAACAAGAGCTGCAGATGACAGAAAAAATATACAGTATGATGTCATTTATATAAAGTTTAAAAATGTAAAATGAAACCATGTATATATATATATATATGTATCTTTTATGGATACCTTCGTAGGTGGTAAAACTGTAAAAAACAGAAGGGAATCATTAACCCTACCTAAATTCAGGAGAATGGTTGTCACTGGTGGGTTTAATGAAGAAAAAACACAATGAAAGCTTCTGGGTACTGGGAATGCTATTTCTTAGCCCAGAGTTTTTTTTCTTTAACTGAATATTTAATATATGCTTTCATTTGCATGATATATTTCACAATACAGAAACTATCATCTACCAATCTTGGTAAGCTGAATAGGGGTGGTGTTCGGTTGCAGAGATTGTTGTCTACTGTTGAGGCAGACAGGTTTCAGAACTTCAGGTTTCTCCAGGTTGGATGACGAGCACTCATTTCTCTTCTGCCCTGTTCATCTTTACAGCAGTGGAGCTAGTGATTCTAAGACGGTGCTCCACGCTGGTCTTGTCAGTCGCGCTTCCACCACTTAGAGATCTCAGGTGGGAGAATGTCATCTGGGCCTTGGGAACAGGGTCCAGATGAAAGCTGGCCACTGCCAGACCATGTGTCAGAATAGCAGTAATCTTGGTGGCCTGAGAGGGCCAGTCTGGTACTGTTTGGTGCTTGGAGAGGGGACTGTCACATGGAGTACCCAGGGCTCTGTCTGCGAGTGTGCCGTCCCGGGCTGCATCCTCAGCCCGAGTTCCCTGGTCCAGTGTTGCGGAGCCCCCTGGGAGAGTGTGTGCTAGTTGGCATGGGCAGGGCCTTCCACACCCTCCAGTAATCCCCCAGTGTTTGTTTTATTTTGCTGGAATGAGGGCTGACTTGGGAACTGTGCCTAAGTCAATTCAGGTTTTGCAGATCTCCTGTGTGCCCAGTGTCGTGCACACATTGCCTTCACGAGGCTTGCCAGAAGCATGGTGTCTGCTTTCCACATGCAGTCCTCATGGCATACGCAGTGTATGTGAGGTTTCATGCCATGGGAGGCTGAGAGAGAAGAGATGAGTATGTGGAGAGGAAGACACTGATGAGAGGGAGGGTGGACGTTTGCAGAGAGACTTGTGCACCGTCCAGGGGTTCAGTCCAGTGGCTTAGGGGCTAATGCCGGTAACTAGAGAAGCTAACAGTGGGGTGAGCGTGGAGGGAAAAAGAACCCATTAGGGGCCCGATGGTACTGGCAGCCCTCTTCAGAGATACCGTCAGGTGAGAAATGGTTGGGAAATTCCAGACTAAAGGTG